TCTATGGCTTTTGTTTAACAATCTTCACTTTCTTCCATGGTTAGTAAAGCAGATTCAAAGCACGATTAAAAGAAAAACTGCCGCTTTACCCATTCACATCCTTACCTACTTCTGCCCCCGTCACTGACTGCCTCAGGACCAGCTGCTTGGGAAGGGACAGACGTGCCCGACTCTCAATGGGGCTGTCGGGGATAAAGGTGACCGGGCCGTGTTCTGGGCAGTCTGAGGGATACGCTCGGTTACACAGTGTACACCCTACAAGCAGGAATAATACTTTGGTTATTGTCACACGCATGAGGGAAAGGTGGGTACACTAATATATAAAAAAAGAGCTTAAAGAGATCCTGTCACCAACTTAAAGTAGTATTAATGGCTGGGCATTTTTTACCTTAATGCATTCTCAGCATTAAGGTAAAAAACGCTGAGTACCTTTCTGACTCCCCTGTTCCCCCCACACTTACCTGTCACCCACGCTGGTGCCCACAGTGATCATCCGCCCCAAACTTCCTGCTTGCTTGGGAAGAGATTGAGGGCAGAGGTTCTTCTGCTGTCAATCAACTTGTGGGGCGGTGGAGGGGCATGGACGCACACAGCTACTGCGGGCACGGTCATGAACGAACACGCAAGGGTGCCTCCACAGCAGCCCCCTAGCTGCTGGCAGCACCCGTACAGGGGCGGGGGGAGAGGATGCGGGGACCCACTAGAAAACGAGGAATGGAGAAAAAAAAACAACCCAAAAAGATCTGCATGAAGGAATGCGTCCCGGAGCTTTAATATCACTTTAAAAAATTGTAGGTAAAAGCTCACAAAATGAAGCATTTTAAAATGTTACTTGCAGCATTTTCCCTTTATGTAAACAATCCATAAACATAGCCCTCTCCTCTTTTGGAAGGGTCTAATTTCCTCTGCCTGTCCCTTCACCTTCCCACATACATTTTTATTTAGCAGCCACAGGAGAAGCGAAGGGGAACACTATAGAGAGTCGCTTGAGTGACAGTTCCGAGTCTGCTGGGGCTGCTGAAATCATATCCAAGCCCAAAATATATTAAATGCACATATAATCTTATAGGAGGATTTTTGTTGTCTGGTTACAGGGTCTCTTTAAGAAGCAGTCTTATGCACATTGGAAAATTAAATGCAGGTCTATTGATTCATTTAGAAATAACTATCTTTGCTTCTCCATAGGAAAGCTGAATTATTGTGCAGAAAATCCCTTCCTTACATCTTCATTATTGCCTGAAGGCTGAATTATGGGCGTTTACGGTCCTGTAAATCTTGGTCTAGTATTACCAGTGTGCTCAGTGTACACACTGATCACTATGTGATAAAAAAATTTAAATATTGTCAGATAAAATTAGGGAGGCGAGCACTGACACCTCCCTGCTCCCTCTTCTGCCGTGGGGCTCTGCCCGCCCCCCGATCTGCTGTAAGCACACCGGTTTTAGTTTTTCAGGAAGTCTTCCTGACACACCTTCTCCTTGCATTATGATGGTGCTGGCCTTGGGTAAGCACCTGCTGCCCAAGACAAGCTTTGCCAATCAGCGCTAATTATTTATCTCCGACAGAGCAGTGTGGTCAGACAGCAAC